GTCCATACAATTATAAGGGGGAAAAGATGTTTACAATGCTGATTTTCTGAATGGAGTTTGCTCAATATACCTAATAAGATATATAGCAACATCTATTTAAAATACATTTCTTGTAAAGGCACATAAATGTAGCCTATTTTAAATACATTAACAGATGTATAGATTAGCTCTTCGTTGATTGGCTGACGCAACAAAGCGTCATGCGAATATTCTGCTCGAGTTAAAATTTTTCAACTTGCGCGAAGACGTTCGCGGCAAAACGCGTCGCCCAATTCGCGTCATTCGCGAATCATGTGTCTATTTGCGTCTTTGCATTGACTTTGTATGTAATCTGCTCGCGCAAACGATTAAATTCGCATTCGGTGTGAACACACCATAAGGTTGTGCCCTGCTCTCCCTTATAGACCCCTTTTGCGCCGACGTCACAGTTACGTCACGGCGCTAGCTGGAGGCAAAACAAAGTGAAAACTGGAGGCGGCCAATGCAAACCAGCACAGATTCGGCTACATAATAAGGAAGGACCATAAATTACTTTTATTATTTTTAAATATCATCTTATTGTGTTGTTTGGTGCAAGTATCAATGAAAAATGAATATGCTGTATCTGGATTTTTTATTTCTAGAAAATATTCACATTATTAAAATCGCACCGTAATTACACTCTTTACATTGTCGTCTTCTCTGCCCTGGCTCGGCAGAATTGCGGTTCATACACACAAGTCTTGTACAGGACCATATAGGCATCTAAAGATTTATATGCCCTCAGTTTCTCTTTACGATCGGTTTCTCTATAAGGTAGGCGTAGAAGTCAGGCCACTCAACCGAGGTAGCGTTAATCCTGTTAGATCGTCCATGCATTGAGTGAGCGTGTAGGCGGCTACGGGTCGGCCAATCTGGTTCCGTCCGTTAAAAATAACTTTTGGAAATAACAATCGCGGTCCTGGACAGTGAGTTACCTTATACTTTGTTACCAGTCATTGTTAAAAAACAAGCTAACAATACTTGCTAACTAGCGTTAGTGAAGCGGCCAGAGGGATCGTTATGCCTCTACCTAAGCTCCGCCCACATAAAAACGTCACCATGTTTACCAACTGAAAAGGGGTCTATAGGTTAATTTGTTACTTTGGTTGTAGGGTTAATAAAACAGCATCTCTAAGTAAGTAAACAAGAGACATTCCTTCCTCTCATGTTACAATGTGCCACCGGAGAAGCTACGTGATGCATGTGGCTGGATATGAATGGACACTTGATGCACGTTTTGGGAAACCTTCCATGGACAATGTAGTGCAGGTCTCTGCGCCTTCAGGCATGTCTGATCACCTCCAGACACAATCCTTTAAAGAATCAAACACTTCACAAAGGCTGATCCCCATACAATGTGCATGCTATACGGTGGATCACACTAGGCAGTAATTTCGATTTTTAGGCTATGGTGATACATCAAGTATTACAAGTGCATAAACCAAGGTTTGTAACCTTCACTCATAAACAGACCAGTTAGCATCCTAGAGATTACTTCGGTAAAACCATTTCCTAGCTTTACCAGGAGAAAATGGCTAGATAAGCAGAGTGCTCTAGTGTAAACCGCTTATAGGTGTCTTTTTAAATAGCTTTCTAATGCGCTTTAAGCACTGCAGCATGTTGTGTATCAAAGAGAGGAACAAAAGATAGGCTGAGCAGATGTAGTTTCTTCTCCTACAACCCATGATCCTTCTTGATAGGCACGTAATGAGAAGCAGACCAGCGTTCACACCGTATCACACACACACATTCATTATTCATGCCATATTAGCTTCTTTATTCCAATAGTGGGAAGGTGGAAACTAGCTAAGCGAGGAGAATGTTAGTGCCACTGCCATTGGGATGCTGTTCTACAGATCGGTGTGTGTTTTATATCACTGTACAGGTTTTGAGACTTCAGAGGCTTGTCACCAGTGAGCTGGAGTCAGTGTGACCACAGCAGTTTCCTGAATTTAACTTAACTAGTGTTGCACAATGAACAGTTCATTGGCAGTAATTTGAGCCATTTAAACAGTAGAAGCTTTGTTTATTATAAGTGTGAGCCAAATATAGAAGTCTACTACAAAATACTGACTCACTATTATAATTCAACATTATAATTTACTCTGCTGAACGCAAGTTACATTGTTGTGCAAATGTACGACTGGTTAAACTTGACTTGGTGAATTAATAAGACGCAGGCTTGTGTGCTAAATGGTCACAAATGTTTAGTGAATTCAGCCCTGGACACTTTCCATTCATTCAGGTTTACCTATGTGACATTTGCCATTAGGGTGACAGTGTATACAGAGACAAAGACACACCGGAACACACTCAAACGGAGAGGATGAGCAGGATTCCTAATGCTATTAGATTGACAGTTGAGAAACACCAGTTAAAAGAACAGCTGCATTCTTTCTAACAATACAGAATGATCCTGAGGACAACAAACGGCAATGGACAGAAGGAACAAAGTGAATGGTTAAGATTGTTTTTTAAGGCCCCGTCCACACTACTGTATTTTCGTTTAAAAACTGACACCTTTTGCTACGTTTGCACCTCCCGTCCAGACTAAAACGGGAAAAACGAAGACCTAAAACGGAGAAGTTTAGAAACGCTGCAGCTCCGTTTTGCGTTTTGAATCTTCCGTGGGCGTTTTAGTGTGGAAGAGACAAAACGGAGGACTTTAGAAATGATGACGCAGAGGCTGACGCACGGCTCTATGATTGGGTGTCATCAGTCATGACGTATCCTTTCCTGATTCGTCAGCCACTGTTTACACCGGCACGCGCATGCCCAGTGTTGGTGAATGGTCACGTGATCCGCGTTTTCAGTTGTTTTAATGTGGACGGAGATCATTTCTAATACGCAGATAAAACGCTAGTGTGGACGGAGACCGTATTCGTTTTAATTCTCCGTTTGTAAACGAAAACGAGAATTTTTGGATTCTGTGGTTGCACCCCTTCACCTCTACAATGGTAGCATAGGTGCACAGGAACAATTCTTCATAAAACGCATAAAACTTTAGTTTACAAAGACGTGAAACTCATCGAGTGGTCTAGGGTGTTCACTGATATGCTCACACAAAAATCGCTGCAAAAGATGCTTTCCAACAGGTGTTTTACCATTCGTTGTAAAACTGTAGACCTATTTTTACGAACGCCTCACAACCGTACATTTTTCTGTTGAGAGCTTGAATAATAGGCACTCCAGCCCAGTTGGTGGCGATAGTGCATCTTTGCCGATCGCAAGCAAACCACTTGTATAGTGCAGCCTACGATACCGCGACTGCATAAGACTACAGAAAGAATACAAACAACCCCATTTCCGTTTCCGGCAGTGGAGTAATAGTGCGTTCTATTATTCATCCGTCTCGGAGATCCGAATCGGACGACAGACGTTGCCTAGCAACACGCCCCCTTTCCTCGGATTTCTCCTCTCGGACGTCGGACAACCGTGAGGTCACCAAGCAAGAAATCCGTTACGGAATTCAAGATGGCCGTGCCCAGTGACTTGTAAGAATGAATTGTTTTTATTGTTTTTGAACCGCTTTGGTATTTTAAATTACTATTATAATCACTCGTATTACTGCGTCCCCTGTGGGTATGGGATTCGGTTGTTGTGAGTGCAATTACTAACGTTGCTAGAAGATTAACATGAAAAACATTAAATAAAGTGAACATTTTCAAGTTCAAATGGCTGCGTTTTGATAAGGTGTAGTCATAATATTTTTTTTTAAATGTAAGTGCCTGGTACTCGGCCAGTGCTACCATGACAACAGCTTTCTCCGATTCGGACACGCAAAATATAATAGAATGCTTGAAGTGTGGACGTGACGTCAAATCCGAGGTCCGAGTCGGTTCGTTGGGTATAATAGAACGCACAATAATACCGTACATCGCAGAACATACAATACAAGTCAACGGAGTTGGACAATAACTACAATAAAACCTGTTGGAAAGCATCTTTTGCAGCGATTTTTGTGTTTCACGTTTTTGTAAACTAAAGTTTTATGCGTTTTATGAAGCACCTATGCTACCATTGTGAAGGTGTGGGGGTGCAACCACAAAAACTGAAAATTCTCGGGACAGCAGCATCTGTCTAAAAAACAATCTTAACCATTCTATTTCATCAGAAACGATCTTAAAACAGGGGTTTAATTGTAAAATACCGAACTTGTCCTTTAAATGAAGGCAAGAAATAAATGAGGAAAGGTGACTCTCTGCACAAAGGTCTGTCTCTGCACAAAGAGGATTTGTGGACTTGGTAACAACAATTAGTTTCATTTACTTTTCTGACAATGTAGCGTGCAATTGTATTTCTTACATGAAAAACAACCACGTGCCGCACGCCACTGCTTGAACAAAACCACACTTTTGTCTTAAAAGGCGTCAACATTCTCCATCACAAAAGACTGTACCTCAGTGATGAAAGCGATCATCTAATATGATCAATAGTGCTATAGTAACTTAATAAAGCCATAGTATGCCGTGTTTACAGACTCATTGTGTCCCTTCTCTTCACAATTCCCTCTAGCCTGCAAAAACACGAATGGACGCACCCAAAAGTGCCAGCGATTCACGCGAGAGGAAGTGGCTTGCCTTTAACATGACAGATGTTGAAAGAGAGGGGACGTATTATGTTGTTGGAGAATGAGACGGCTCAGAAATTTTAAATAGAAGCTTTGTTATTGTTCGATGACTGACATGGAGATGCATGTGTATGTACGCAGTGGCACGGTGGTTATGTAAACGCGGTAATCCACCTCCATACAAACATGCCAGAGGCCAGCCTGAACCAATCAGCTCTTGATATCTGCTTTCTGTTTATCAACAGTTCAGCAAGTGTTACTGTGCATGAGAGATGACAGGGTTTCCAGGCCATAGCCTCCTCAGAGCTCTTAAGTCGACTCCACACCAGCCTTTATTTATAGTCTCGTACCAGTCGGCTCTTTTACACACTTTCAGTAAATGGACAGAGTGAGTTGTCGGTGCACTTACTGTAAGAGAAACTCAGGCGAGGGGTGACGTCGTCTTCTGCTGCTCGACCACATCCAGCCAGGAGGGCAATGAGGAGGAACAGGAAAGAGACACGCGTCATGTTTAGTGTCCACATTTTGCTCCTTGTGTCTCAGTGTGTTCTGTCTCTGGATTTTCTGGCGCTCATGAAGATCTTTTCCCTTGCTTGTTTGTTTTTCTTCTTCTCCTCAAACTCCTGAAATAAGAGCAGTGTATTCGCAGGGCCTCACAATGGTGGATTTCTACTAAGAAACAAGTCCTCAAGGACGACGATACGGCCCAATTCAGTCTCCATGTGCTTGTGTAGACTGTCACACGGCTGTCTCAGCAATCTGTAAGCAAGCAAGACACAAGGATTGTCACATTAAAATGAGATAAAACTGTATTACTGGTGGGCGTTTCATCAAAAAAACTGGTGTAGAAACAAATTTCATTCAGACATTGAACATTCATGGAATGAACAATTGAAAAGAAATGGCACGTAACACATTGAATTAAACGTGAAATTTTTAAGTAGACAAACTGAAATAATATTGTCTTGTAAAGCCCAATTCACACTGCACCGAAATATGCAGACCAATACATCACTTCTCAGACATTCCACGACCCGACAAACGCCGACTCAATTCAATCAGCGAAAATCCTAAATCCGGATCCAAATTTAGTCCAAAATCCGGGTCTGAAGGGTTCCCGTCCCTGAATTACGGTTACAACATGGCATGTACGCAGCATAAGCTTGTTGTTTTGGTTTAGGAGGAACTGTAAAAGGTGGGTTTTAATATTCAGACCACTTCTATTATTGATTGAAGTGTTTCAACCAGTATAACAGAAAGTATTTATAAAACAAATTGCCTACACTACCTTTAAGCTTGTTTCAGTTGGTTTCCCAGCTGAGGGGCTGAAAAGCAAAAAGTCCCCAAAACCAAAAAAAAACTTTGACTTAATTTAGACCATGTGCATAGAGACCATGTTTATCTATTTCTAAATGAAGCAAACATCCTCTTCATGCTACGCTAAACCCACAATACGATGTGAAATAGTCGCAATATGTCACGCTTGAAAGCACCAGGAGACGTGGGAGTTCAAACCAGCCGTCTCCTACCTGTATGGTAAACTCTCCGTGTGGGGTTGTATCGCTGAAAATCATCAGTAAGATTTGGATTGTGCCAAGAATTGCCGCACGATTGAGAATATGTAGCCTTAGGGGACACAGATTTACACAATATTTACTCACTGATCAGCAGGGCTCTATGTCTGTGTTTAATCAGCTCTAATCGCTTAGGTGAGGATGTTTGGGTCAAAGTTTGTAGAAAACTGCCCTGTTTAAAAGACCTCCACTGCTGGTCACAGGAACATGTTGCGTTTTAGTGTTAGCAACTAACCATTCCTTGGTCAACCAATATCACAGGAAAGATCATGCTGGAACCAGTCTTAAAGGGATACTCCACTTTTTTTTGGAAACTCCCCCAGAGTTAAGCAGTTTACCGTTTCTGAATGTATTGAGCTGATTTTCTGATATTTAGAAGAATATCAGTAACCAGATAGTTTCTGGTCTCATTGACTCCCAAAGTATATATTTTTTCCTACTATGGAAGTCAATGAGACCAGAAACTGTCTGGTTACTGATATTCTTCTAATTAAATATCAGAAAATCGGCTGAATGGATTCGAAAACAGTAAAATCCAACTGTTTAACTCTGGGGGAGTTGGAAAATGAGCCTATTTCCAAAAAAAAAAAAAAAAAAAAAAGTGGAATATCCCTTTAACCAACATCCTTCTGACATAAGCCGGTCTTCTGGTAAGGCAATAAATAAGTACTTCCTGGAAATGTTGGGATTGCTTAATAAACTATGGAATATGCCTTATTTTCTGTTTACAAGTTAAGTTGCAAAGTTCGGAGAACAGTTGTTTGTCATAATCACCTATCATCATTCATCAGTTCCGTTTCATAAAGCACTGTTCTAAGAATGGATTTTCAACATAATGCCATACAATGTATAATTTCTAGCCTCCTGCTAAGATGACCTCAATTTGCTCCCATTTAGATAAGAAACATAAAGGCGTAGGGTTTGACTTCCAGGCAAATTAAATGGACTGTAAATAAGTTGAATAGCTTTGCACTTGATATGTGATCTATAGTTACTGCACAGAACCCAACCCTGTCATCAGCCCAATATGTCAGTGGGCGAACACTTAAGTGGTTTTCATTACTCTGGCTACGTAGACGAGCCTTTTAAGCACAACCACAAAGCTAATCCAATTTCAATTCCCATTTTGGTTTAGGATTTAATATCAACGTCAAATGTGTATACTTTATTGTTATGAACTGCCAACAGTTAAGGGCTTACAAATGGTATGTGGTATAAAATCAGAATTTGAAGTAGAAGAAAAAGAAGCCTGGCTTTCAACAGACAGAATATGTCTAAAACATATATGTCACATGTTAAATATTAAAAGGTGAAAGATTGTGAAAGATTTCAACTTATAGTTGACCCAAAAATTAAAATTATATCATCATTTACTCCAAACCTGTATTCATTTCTTTCTTATGCTGAACACAGAAGATATTTTGAAGAATGTTGGTCCCCATAGACTTCCATTTTCATGCAGGTTTAGAACAACTTATGGGAGAGTAAATGATGACTTTTTTTATTTGTGGGTTAACCCTTTTAAAAATCTATTAGTACATAATATGTAGATGGTCCATATTTGTGCTTTAAACGTCAACTGTAATTTGGCATCAAGCTCTAAGAGTGATACTCAACCATTGTACAACTGCCAAAAAAGCAAGGATGCTTTGCTCTAATATAGACAACATGAGAGCACAGGACAAGCTGACAGTCCCTAAATAAAAAGAAGACAAAAACAAGGCTACTTTTCCATCTGGAGCACGACAGACCTTGGACTCCCACAGGAAAGATTCACCTCCCAAACGGGAAAACTGCTGCTTGTTTAAACAGCACCTCAAAAACATATATTGGCACAGCACGAGGAGATAAACCGATTACAATTGAATGTGGTTTAGGTTTCCACAAGTGAGTTTCTGAAGAACTGCTGAATCATTCATGATTGTTTATCAACATCAGACAAGTCCTAAAGGAACAATACACTTTACTACTTGATGCTTATGTCTGATAAGCAGAATATTTGACATCTATGATACCTATGAACAACGAACAACGAAGTAACAAAAATCATTCAGCAAGTTTAACTTATATCCACATGCAGTCTTCAAAGGACAATCTTTGTGATAATACATCAACAACCACCTTAAACAGTTAATTTCCCTTTAGAAAAGTTTACAAATGTCATGTGTTTGCTGTATTTTGGATACAGTGTTTCACAACCTTCCCCTGCATTCTATCTCAGCTCAGACAAGAGATATGTTTACAAGGTCAAACTCCTCCTGCTAATGTCCATATGCTGGGGTTGGAATGTGTCCTGCGCTGGTCAAGGCTGTGGCTTCAGCCATATTGGTGAGGGAGGTTCGCTCACCAAACACCATTAGCCTTCCTAGAGCTGGGAACACTGGAGCGAAGTCCCAGTTGACCAATGGCAATGTGATCTCATTAATTTCAAGTTTTGACAGGAAGAGGATAAATGGTGCCAAGGCATGTGAGAAGCTGAAGTAGGACGCTAACGGTCTCTGTCATCAAGGAGATAAAATACACATTTCCCTATTCTTTACTGTTGGATTAATGCAGGAGCCATACATCAATCTCAATACTCATCCTCAACAGTGAAACATGACTCATAATCCACAAATCCTAAAATTAACAACCTCAATGAGGAAGTGTGATGTTTAAATGTTAATCATTCAGATAAAACAACTACTAATTTGGACTAAATTTACATATTTGTTTGGTACTTTTTAAGATTTTGAATCAGGAAAATTAGGAAAACCAGTAAAAAGGACTGACACGTCTTTATATGATTTGTAATATAAAAACAAATAAATAATTTGTAGGGTATTTCTTGGAAGGATCTGGGAACAAAGCGTCCTCTAAATTTTTACTCAAATCAATTGCGCAAAAAACAATTCCTCATAAAAAATAGAAGCCTAATGGTTTGCATCATCATAAAGTAGGAAACTTTCATCCTCTGACTGAAGAATAATTCAAATGATAGCAAATTTTATAAATATTAATTTAAGCCAAGCCAACGGCCAGTCAATAATTCTGTGTTCTCCTGGTACGTGAGCCATATGTGACGATGGCATCAGATGTCACTTCCTGTATGTCATAAAAATAGAAATGGTTTACTACAGAAACAGCTGTCCAGGTTATCAGGTCTGTCAGATGGGATAAAATTATCTTTAAGCAAGGCCAGAGGACTAATGCTTTTCTTCTGCAACAGTCTTCATCTTCTGGGAAAATAATAATAATAATTTACCTAAAAAGCGCTGCACCCTTAGACACCAGTGTTGTTAATTAAAACTACACTTAAAACTAAAACCATTTAAAAAAATGTTAAAGCTGAAATAAAATATAAAATATACACAATAGATAAAACACTTAAGAAATTAATTAAATAAATAAGTACTAAAAACAAATTAAAACTAAAATCAAATAAAAAATAACATTAAAAATATGTGTATTTATTCCTCAATTCACCAAATCAGCAGCGTTTGTGCGTGTGGCGGGGTTGTGGACTCAAGTCGCATGACTTGGACTTTAACTCTAGTCCCAAATTTGATTACTTACATTTACATTTTACATTTATTCATTTAGCTGACGCTTTTATCCAAAGCGACTTACAATTGCTATATATGTCAGAGGTCGCATGCCTCTGGAGCAACTAGGGGTTAAGTGTCTTGCTCAGGGACACATTGGTGTCTCCAACGCATTCTTATCCTTTAGCGTCATATAGAATGCTATATGACAAAACGGCACTATTCTTCGCACATGGCACCCGTTATCATTAATATAACAAGCGCTGTGATGGGTAGGTTTAGGTGTGGGGTAGGGTAGAGTAGTCTCATAGTCTTGTGTTATATTAACGATAAAGGGTGCCATGTGCGTAGTATAACGCCGTTTTGTCATATAGCGTATGAATTCATTCGAGTGATTAAAAAGTGGCTAATTCGTACTAATTCATACGACCTCACTCGTACGAATTCGTACGATTTGTCCAAACCCACGTGATGGGTAGGTTTAGGGGCGGGGTCAGGGGTAGGTCATTCGTACGAATTCATACGAATTGGCCAATTCGTAAAATATGTACGATTTAGCAAAAATGTCCTAATTCGTACGAGTGAGGTCGTACGAATTGTTACGAATTAGCCAAAAATTCGTACGAATTCTCATGAGATCGGGTTGGAACGGGCTGGTGTA